GACTTTTCTGCATGCGCGTCGGAATCACCAACCTGGTAACTTCTGGTAATAGATATGGACTGAGTACGTCGCTGACTCTGTCCGCCTGAACGGCGGGGTGGGGGGCGCTCACTGTGGTCTCCCACTCCAGCTACACCTTTCCCTTTGACATGCCGCTTCAGATCCTCCATCTCCGCCGCCATTCGCCGGATGACAGCATCTTGGTCCCTCAACTTACTTTCCAGTCACTTGGCGTGTGAGTCTCTCCTCCGCCGGTGACCATCTGGACTCTGCGAATGACCATGACTTCTTCCGCGCTTATCCCGCGCGTCTACTGATTGTCCTCCAGTGGGCGTCCCCAAGTCCGCCATTGGATGGATGACGGGAGGACCTTCTCTCCTTCGGGTGAATTCCGGGGTGGCTCCGTCTATGGCAGACAACGGAAACTCGTCGTTGTTCGCCATGGACGGCGATCAGATGAACCTGGAAGACAAGGTTTTGTCTGTCAAGCTTCCCACAGACGGCGCCAATTGTACGGGGAGCAAATATTCCGGCAATGCCCGTACTCCTTTCTTCCGAGCTCCGTCTCCGTCCCCGTCCGATCACCTGCGAGCAAATAAAGGTGAGCTACCCGACGGTGTGTGGTCGGAAAAATCCTCCGACGATCAAGTTAGCACACACCTTAGGATAGAGAGGGAGTGAGAGGAGTGTTTGAGTGTAAGAATTTCCTTACAGAATGTTCGTGTGTCCCGTATGGGGGGCGCAGACATGCTTATATACCCTCTGCGCTTCATATCCACTCCCAGTCATCTCCCGACACGTGGCTCTGTTATCCCTTCTGTCAGCCTAAACCTTGCCGAACGTCACCTAATCCCAACTGCCTCCCCCCTCAGTTGGAGCTCGACAGCCGAGCTTCTTTATCCACGGCCGTGCTGTGCTTCATACCCAAGCACTTCACTGACTGGGCCCAGGGAGGACCGGGCTAGGAGGCATCTCGGCAAAGCTAAGCCCGGGACACCTCCTGGGATTGGCCTTCCTGCCGACCAAACGGTTACCTCGGCTGACCATACCTTTCCGGGCGCCGGTCACTCAGCTTGTTTGGCTTCAGCAATCCCCATGATCAAGCAGCTCGGTCCAACCGAGCATTGCCTTGTCGAGCAGCTTCTTTACGGTCTGAGGCGGCACACACTTGGCCCAATTTCTGCCCGGCCCAAGTTCCGGCAGCCCATCTCCGGGCGGATAGTCGATCATCTCGGCCCCAAGCACCGTTGGGCTCTCGACCTGCTCGGCCGTTACCTCGGCCCAGTTCCAGATCATAAATCACCCTCTCAGAAACAAAGTTCAAGATCAGCCAAATGGCGATAGAAATAGAGCTCAAGATCAACCAAACGTGGACAAGAATCAATTTCAATTTCCGATATTTTGGTTGCCTTACAAGCATGAAGAAGATGAAACAAGGGGCGATAAAGAGGCAAAAGCGGATCACGAATCTGCTGAAAGATCATCTCCCAATTTGAAGGTTGCGTCGGCACAACTTCCTAGCAGCAAGGTTGGTTTGAAGGCGACGGAAAACAATGTCAATGGGAAGACAAATCATGTCAAGCAACAGGAAGAGCTACACAATACGGGGAAGACCAAAGAAGGTGAGGGAAAAGCCAGAGGCATTACTATGAAGGAGATAGAACATAGTGGAGATAAGAAGCCTTCTGATGATGGTACTAAAAGACAGTCCCCTTCTCCACAAAAGACGTCTAAGCTACCTCCGGTTTGTTTGAGAGTTGACCCCTTGCCAAAGAGGAAAAACAGTCATGGTGATTCGAGGTCTCCTAGTCCTAGTCACAAAGAAAAAGCACAGGAAGCATTTGGTGATAGGTCTGAGTCCACCTCATCAATAAAAGAGAGTGAGGAGGTAGAGCCGAATAAAGGGAAGATAAAAGTAGTTAAGGTAGTGGATGGCATAACAAAGCAAGACACTGGTGAAGATTGCAAAGCTCAGACTCCCATTGGAGCTCCTGTGAATTTGTTTCCTAAATCTGGTGAAGATGTTTCAACGAACCAAGACACTAGCAAAGTTGTAGTATGTGATGATGTGAGAGAGGACAAAGAAGTCAAAGCACCAGATGCAACAGTAGAAAGTCACTTGGTCTTGTAAGATAAGAAGTTTTGAATATAACACAAATATATTCCTTCTTCCTCATATTTTCGGAGTTCTTCTTCCTCATATTTTCTAAGAATGCGTCCAAGCTTAAACATGCACATGAATACAAGTTCCATGCATATATTGGTATCATGTAAAATGATTGTCAAGTCGTTTGCCATCTGTTGTATGTTTGTAGTTGATGGACTCTTAAATACATCTAGACAACCAGCTTTGTGGGATTTGTTCAGTGTTTTTGGGAAAAATTATCTTCTATTTTTCCTATGGCCCTTATTTTTTCTGGTTATGAAATAATCAGAATGATCTTAATCTGTATTTGATTTACCAGGGCTTGCACCCAACGGTCAGGAATTTTAGGAAATCCGTGGCAAAGGAGCTTGTGAGCCTGCAAGAGAAACTTGATTCTCTACCTACCAATAAATCCGAAGTGTCAAATGTGAAACTTGTGGAAGATCTTTCTATGAACGCCAAAGGAGATTCTTCTTTTGAAGAAACGGGAAATGGAAACAGCTTTGCTGAGACTCAAAGTAATCACAGTAACATATCTGATTTAGTAGAGCCTAGTCAATGTCAAATTTCCAATATCACCGAAGCAACATCTGGCTCCCAAATTATGGAAAATTCAGAGATGAAGTTGGTTAAGAAAGAAGCATGCGAGGAATCTGAAGATAAAATTATAGCATCTCCACTGCAAAGCAGTCGCGAGCTAGTTGATAAACTGAAAGATGATTTGAACAATGAAGTGATTGATGATGGTGAAATGATGATGTTGAAGGCTCAAACTGATGGTTCAGAGCTCAAGTTACTTGTTGAACCAATACCATCTGCTGCAGAAGAGAACGTAGACTCCGCAGTGGTGGGGACAATGCCTTCTTGTCTGGGTGATCAGTCGGCAGCATCACCAGAGTTCAATCAGGAACTTGTTATCGAACAGTCTCCGAGGCATGAGCTAATTGAAATAGGGAACTGCGAGGTCCTACAAGGCAAAGGCGAAGTTGAGTCTCAATCAGCAATTGGCATAACCACATCAATTGCAGAGGCAAATCAAGTACAGCAGACACTTGATGCTCTTAATGATGCGTCAGTCATTGTAGATCTGAAGCATGAAATTGGAGAAGAGAGCGATTTTGAAGGTCATGAGGATGTGATGGCTGAACAAGAGGAAGCACAAAAAGAAGTTGGTCATATTAATGAGAATGTGAAAATCTCCAGGGCAGATGATGAGATTGGTTTAGGGAATGCACCCATTGAGGATGCTAGGCTCAATATAGAGGAGTTCACAGTACAAAAACATGGAGAAGAAAAAAACAATACCAATGAGCTCTTGGATACTTCCGAACCAGAGAAACCTCAGCCACAACTCGCATTTGCAGAGGATGAAATTCATGATGGAGAAGCTTGTAAACCAGAGGAACCCCATGCTGAGTTTTCACCTCTAGAGAATGAGACCCATTGTGGAGTAGCTTCAAAAACAGAGGAAACTTGGCCAGGTCTTTCACCTGCACTGGGACAAGAAAACGACGACAGTGGAATAACTAATGATGAAGATAATTGTTCCAGGCAAGACATCAAGGAAACCAAGGAATGTAACGAGGAATCAGAAAACCAAGAGATTGTAGGGGACAGGCTTGAATTTAAAGAGCTTGTATCGGTTGCTGGCAATGATAAAGTCACTGAACAGCTTTGTGGGTCTGAAACCTCTAAAGAAGCCCTGATCGCAACTCAGTTTGTTCCTGCCGATGCAGAGGAGCTACCTCAGGTTGAAGGAGAGCTTTTCCCAATGTCTCCAAATTACAGTCAAGTCTCTTTGGGAAGCAAAATGGGTTCAGAAAGTGATGAAAAGTTGGTTGAAGAGAACAAGAAATTGAGGGAGATAATGGAGAAATTGATTGAAACTGGGACAGAACAGTTGACTGCGATATCTGACCTCTCTAGTAAAGTGAAGGATTTGGAAAAGAAATTGGCGAGGAAAAAGAAATCGAGGACAAGGCGTTCAGAGCTGGAACTGCCTGTGTTAAACATGCAAATGATGCTCTAAAAGGTACAACACATGGAATTGCAGTGTAAGAGTGAAAATTACATATGTGAGTGATTATGTTAAATCTGATATGGGTTTGAGTTTTGTTGTATCCTTCCTTGTAATAATATCTACAACTCTTCTTTGTTTCTTTGTTATTTTCATTGATTGTGTTGGTTTGACAGTATCTCTGTATATTAGTCTGCCTTCTTTGAAATAATTATATATTCATCTTGTATGTTTTGGCATGAATGACTTTAACTCACCAGAAAGATCATTTCAAAAATTATTTTTGCTTCCTAGAAAGGTTAAAAAAAAAAATGTGAAAATAAAGAGTATATTTTTCATCCCTTGTACCATTTTAGTTTTTAATGATGTGGTAGTGACATTATTACAAATATAAATATCTTTATAAGTGTTTTATTTTAAAGTAAAAGGTTATACCATTGAATCGTATTTATATGAATTTTTTATTTGTATGTAATCACTTCAAGAGAAAATACCATTTGGCCATTGACTAGTTTCTACTCTAGATTAAGTAGTAACTTAAATAGTATAGGGGTACGCGTGAAAATAAGAGTAATCTGGGAGATCATTGAAAATCGTGACAAAATATAGGGGTAAAAATGAAATAATCTAAAAAAAAAAACAGTGTTCACAAGTTGTATTATGTTCAAAACTTGTAAAAATTTAAACTGCTAAATCGATTCGCATCCATCCGCCAATCCGTTAATCTGCTCAATCCGTATCCGCCAATCCGGCGAACAGATGATGGATTGGAGATTCTCCGACCGCAGCCGAACTGCGAGCTCCCCTAGTGTTTATGTTTGTTTATTAATTTATTTTTTGGTTTTTGTTGAATGTGGAATAGTATGTAATTTGCACTTTCATGACTTTGAGAATTATTCTATAATTTGCCTTCGTTAATTTTTTTTTATTTTAATTGTCTTAGTACTAGTATGAATTATTAGTCTATGTTAATTTATCTATTTTTTACTAGGACTGTGCGCCTTACTTTAATGAAGCTAGCGTCTCGACTTGCATTTTGCTCGTAGGCCCCGAGAGACCTTTAGTGCCTTGGTGTGCATTGAGCTTTTAAAAACATTGTATATGGATAAATTATAAATACATTCTTTGAGGTTTGTTTAAAATATAAATTGCCCTGTAATTTGAAAAATTACAAATAACTTATTGTTAGAATTTTTTATTTAATATAATTAATTAAAAAAATAAAATTCTTAACTGTTCTTGAATAAAATAATAAAATTACCTGAAGTATTAATTGTAATAAATTTATGATATTATTAAAAACAGTTAATTGACTTAATGATTTATTAATAAAATGAATTATTTGTTATGAAATTCGAAATTTCAAGAGGCGTGATGTAATTTTCAAAATCATAGAAGAAAATTTGCATTTTAAACAAACCTCAAGGGCAGTGCTGGCCCTGGGCATGGGCCAACAAGGCCATGGCCTAGGGCCCCTCAAAATAGACCCAAAAAAGGGGCCCCCTTCTATTATGGTTTAGTGTAATATATTAGGTATGTTTTAAGTTATAAAAAAAATTAAAGAAGGCCCAAACTAACTTAAAATAAATTGATCCATTAAAAAATTGAAAGGGCCATTCAAAAAAATTAACACTGTTATCCATTGAAAATAGACCCAAAAAAAGGGTCCTCCTATTATAGTTTATTGTAATATATTAGTTATATTTTAAATCCAAAAAAAAAAAATTAAGGAAGACCCAAACTAACTTAAAATAAATTGACCCATTAAAAAATTGAAAGGCCCATTTAAAATAATTAGCATTGTTATCCATTGAAAATGATTTTGCAAAAAAACTAGATTATGTAAGTATGATTGATTTATTTGCTTCTAAAAATGCAAAAAGAGTGATGATCAAGCGACACTTATTAATTGTTGTAATGTAATACTAAGTATTTTTTGTGATTTTGACGCAATTTTTTTTGTCTTTTATCTTCATTTTTTTCATTCAATGAAAAAAAAATGTGAAAAGCCCCAAAAATTTATTAGTTGATTATTGACTTTGAGTCCCGGAAATCTCAGGGCCGGGTCTGTTGGTGCATATTCAAGTCATGTCTCACGTCCAATAGTTTGTTGATATTTTGGGCTAGTTTGGTAAATAAAGTTTTAGTAATATATATAAATATGCTTTTTAGAGTAAAGTTATTGCTAAAAAAAAATTAAAATGAGTTCGAAAAATGTCAAAAAAAATATTTTTGTTATTCAGAAAATTCAGGTACGGTTTGAATTTTTTTTAGTGAATTATAAATAAAAAATGCACTAAAACAAAAAAGTTTAATTATTATCAACTTAATCAACTGAAACTAAATAATTATTATCATTTTTTTTTGTTTAAATAGCTAAAAAGTAATTTTTGTAACAAAAAACAAATAGAGCCACCCTAAGCACTTTTAAAAAAACGTGTATGTTTTGTCGTGTTAAGTTTAGTTTGTGTTAATGGAAAAATCACCACATGCATTTTAAATATTAAGCTATTGGGTAATAGAAGAGAGAGAAAGAGAAATGTCAACCAAACATCAAAAGTAATGTTTTAAACCTAACCTCCCAACCATTCGTCTCACATTGATTGTGAGTTCTTTAGGTCAGGAGTATATGAAGTCTCCATCTCCAAATGTTAGGTACATTCTTCGGAGAGTGTGGTGGGTTGGCCTTTACACAATTTTTGTTGGCTATATTTTTTTTTGTTATTGTGTGAGCACGGATATAGATGTATTTCCACTTATTTAAAAAATAAGAATAAATTATACTTGAAAATTTTAAAAATTCTCAAGACATTTATTTGTGATTATGTATCAATTTTAACTAGTAAATAACAATCTCAATCAAATAATTAAAGACAAATTGACACAACGATTTTAACATGAAAAAATCACAATTGGACCGCCTCCAACTGTGATAAAAAATCATAGGTCAAAGCCACAAAATAATTTACTGAGAAAACAAAAAAAAAAAATTATACAAGTGTACTCTCAATTACCTAGCGAATCTACACCCAAATTGAACCGACCCCAATGTGCCTCTTTTATCACCGTCTTCACCTTGGAATTGTCTTGTCTGACGTTGAATCCATAATGCCGATGTCGAATCCATGACAATGAATTACTCCGGAATCCATCAAAGCTTTAGGCCTAAATTTCATGAAATTCACTGAAAAACAACTCTCTCTTTTGTGAAAAAAACAAAATAAACAAACTTCTTTGATATAATCCACTCAATTCATGATATAAACTCTTACAGATATTAAAGGAAATAAACAAAAAAGTTCCAAAAGAAAACCTTAATACCCAAGAAGAAGATTTGGAAGTCGTACCCTAAAAACTGAATTAATCACAAATTTATAGAAAACATAATCGCGATCTCCACTCGAGCGCAAGAATGACCGCTCGAGCGGACTGACTAAAACGCGTGTTTCAGAATAAGGATCTACGCTCGAGTGCAGGAAAGGCCGCTCGAGCGTAAAAATACAACTCCCAATACTTTTGCAAGCGAGTGAAACTTCTGAAAGAATTGTATCTTCGTTCGAGCGCACAATCGACTGCTCGAGCGGTCGAACAATTTTGATTGCAATTTTTATTTTTGCTTCGGGGGAGCTAGCCCCTGGACCTTCGCGAGCTGATCGGGCAGTTCGAACCCCGACATAGTCAGTGAAGTGGCAAACATGATAGATTAAGATCACAAACTCCTCTACATATGCACAATTCGAGTTGGATTCGCATCTAAATACTCATAACCTTACCGAAATAAAAGATCGAATAAAACTACAACTGAAATGAATTTTATCAAAAGGGATTGCTAATTACAAAAACCTAACAATACTTTACCTCCTTTATACTTGGCCCATTCTTCATTTTTGCTCGTAAAGTTGTTTTTTTTTTTTTCCCCTCACTTTAGCCATTCATGTTTTAAGTTTTTTCCACTTTATTTCTAAAGTTAATTTCAATTAAAAATTAGAAAAAAAATATTACAATAATTGTCATGTAACATAAAAAATATATTATTATATTAGAATTTAAGTTTATGTGAAAGGAGTGAGTTATATATAATAAAATATTTTTATACTACATGACTGTTAATATATCATTTTCTGTCTAACTTCTAATAGAAATTAGATTTTGGAATAAAGTGGAAAAAACTTGTAACATAAAGGGATAAAGTGAAAAAAAATAAACTTTAATGATCAAAGTGAAAAAGTGGCTAAATATAAAGGAGGCTAACTGTAATTTATCCAAAAAATAATAATAGTCAACCACTTTAAACCGAATTGAGAAAATAATTTGAGACATTTATTCTTTTCTTTTCTTTTCTTTTCTTTTGTATGTGTGTCATTTTAAGTTGCTTCATATCACTCTAAATAGCCAATTTTTTTTTTATAATTTTAATTTGACTTTTAACATCTAAAACATGATAGTAGAGGTGAAAATATCATAAGTATAGGACTAGTAATAGAGTGAGAGAACAAATTTATGGTTCAAAACAAAAGAGAATTGTTGCAAAACTCTGCCTCATACAAATTAGGGAAAAACAATGAATGAGGTTTGTAGTCTTGTGAAAAATTGAGGATGCAAAGAATTTAGTCCTACATTGTGGAGAATGTGGCCTCTTATTTATTGCATGGTGTGTGGGTACATGACAAAATATAGGGGCAATAATGAATGAAGTGGAAATATCTGTTCACATTTTCTCTATTTTTTTTTCTCTCCAAATTCTCTCTCCACTGTATGATGCATAGCGTGTGGTTAAGGATAATTTGAAATGAAAAAAAATAAAATAAAATAAATTTTGGAACAAAGGCTCCCGTGCCACATTGAATGCAGTAGAAACATTTTTTTTTCCCCTCTCTATTTGCTATTCTAAATCCTTTCTCCACCAATTGACATGCCAAAATAATCATTTTTAAATTAGAAATTAGTATATCGTGGGGTTAGGAAAGAATTAGAAATCTGAGTAAGGAATTCGTGAAATTCGTAATTCGATC